CTCCCCCCCCCCGGGCCGCTGTCCCCCGCCGCAGTGAGGGGGCCCCACGGCAGCCACGCGCTGCCGTTCCCCAACGTTACTTCTTTGTTGCACCCGTGAGTCTTGGGCTCGGTGTGAAGTGTTTTTTGCATACGCTGAAATGCACCAAATGAAGTCCAGCTGGTGGGAATCTCATTATCAGCCCTGATTTCCCCACAGCCACAATTACTGCCCTGTACGAGGCAGCAGATGTAAGGCACAGGTGTGAATTTTGTTAAATGGAAGGAATTCCAAGAAAGGTTGTCAGGTCGTTTGACTTTAAATCCCCTAGGAACCTCTAATTAGTTACTTCACTTAGAAAAGGAACGGTTTTTATCATGGAAAAATAAAAAGTGTAGTTTCTGCAAGAGCAAGTTCCTTCTGCTTCACACTTGGATCTTTTCAGAAACCAGTTCTTCAGTTTTATTAAAAGTAGTACTTAATAAAACGTTTTATTATGTGCAGGGTCATCTGAGAAGACTGCTTTGACAATACAAATATGGACAGCTTCTGCTTAACGATAGGGGTAATTCGAGTTTATTTAATACCCTTAATCTTTTCTCCCTTGGAATTACCATCTTTTTCTGATCAATTCAGATGTCCTGAAGTCAGTACTCATGAAAACCAAGCTCATCAGGAAAGAAAGAGGGTTATTCAGAACAGCTGCCTGCCTTCATAGCCAGCCCATAAATACACAATGTGAACTAATGAGCCATAAGGAGGAAGACATTATTAACAAATAACCACATCAAGGAGGGTTTTTTTTTTTCTTGCTCCTCTTAGCTGGATATATTGGATTACAAGTTAGTAGGACTGACTCAACAGATTGGCAAGTTCTGCGTACTCATCTCCAACTCTTAGGTCAACATGAACTCCGATAAAAAAGATAGCAAAGTGTTTCAGTGAAAACAATCTAATGAATTTTGCTGGCAACACAGGGCTGCTCCCACCGTGTGCTTTGTACCTATACTATTGTTGAGAGCAATTGCTTTTGTTTTGGACTTGCAAACCCATTAGGAGGCAAGAAAACAACAACTACTAAACAAGCAAAGTCAAACTTTTATTTCAATCTTTTGCAATACCGCATTAGTTACTGATTGATATGGAGAAACCCTCCCATTGGTTCCTTCTCTTTATATAAACATGATAATACTGCAACTTTCACAGTAATTGGGAGCCTGTCTCTAAAATACTTGTGCATAACTGCAAGTGGTTAAAAAAAGCTCAATTTTCATATCGTTGAGTGGGTATTTCTGAACTACAGTCTGCCCTCATGATTTTACATTCTATTGCAGTAAACAAGAATGGCTATTATATAAATTAAAGAATTATAGCACTAAATAACAAGAGGTGGAAGACAGTGAAATAGGTACCATTGGCCCAGCATCATGCAAAGAGTGCAAAGTCAAATTAGGCACTGCATGAGGGAAAAAAAATCAAGTCTCTTCAGTTTTTTCTTTCAATTTGAAAAATCAGGTGTCTTCAGATTGGTACCAAAGCCACCAGTTAGGCACAATTCATCAGAATGAACATAAGGCTTCTCTGATTTACTTCTGAAAGATCAGGAAAACAAAGCAAAATTTTACGGGTCTGCACAAATAAGGCCTAAGTTGGATTAAAATACTCATTAGAAACTTTGCTTCGCTCAGGTTGGAGTTTCCCCTGCAGCTGTTTTAAAAGCTAAAATAACCAACGCAAGTTGGACACAATTTCACAGGCAACCGTTCTCTAACTGCCACCTAACAAACACGTTTCATGGGACCTTGCAATTTGTTTTACAGAACGAGCTTGCCAGAAAACCTGCATTTTTTTCTCCAAGTACCTTATGTGCCAGAGAGCACTCAGAAAAACACATTTGCACAGTCAAATCCTTTTCCTGTCTGGACGGGTTTTTATAGAGACCTCAAGCAACGACTCTTTCTGCTGTGCAGCCTTAGTTTTTGACACTTGTCTGCCGTGTCTCTTAGAACATTACCAGGCAGTAAGTTGTGCGGAAGAAAACCCCAAGGTATGTAGCAGTGCCGGAAACCACGGGCGAGAAAAGAAATTATTTATAATACAGACACATTTCAAGTACCTTATTTAGGCTTTCTGCTCATATCAGAGGCACTTATACAAAATTAAGAGATCCAATTTAGGCACTTATACAAAATTAAGAGATCCAAAAACAAGAGAGACACTGGTGCATAGCAAACTGGCATACAAACAGTATCACGATGCTTTTCCACGTATGGCTTAGTGGCTAGTCGGTTGAAACAGTTATTAGAAAAATCTGTGTTTGGTCCAAACTCTTACTGACTTGAATAGCTGGTCCTGGGCAGAAACCTGCTGCTATTTGCCTCGGTTCCTTCACGGTAAAGCCAGCTTTAAAACTGTAGCTCTTTGCACAAACTTTTTGAGGTGCACATACAGAAAGCAATAAATAACATATGGATTCCGCAGGACGGTTCCACTTTGTTGCTAACAAGTGCTGCTTCCAAGCTCTCAGGTCCTACCTCCACAATTCCGTTCCACGTGTTTTTACAGTGAACCCAAGCTCATGGAGAAGCATATTTAAGTGCCTATAAAACCAAATTCAGCAATATTTGCATAACAGAATCCTTCCCAAAGACCTTAACTATTAATAAAAATAACAGAACAAAATACCATAGAACTTACAGTTCATGTATCAATCCTTTTCAGCTCCTGAGAACAAACATTCAGAGGGTCTTTAGTACTTAGCAAAGGTAATTGGGGCCTCTCGCTCCAGGGAGTATATGGAATAAAAAGGATAGAGGAAACTTTGCCAAATTCGGGATGACTTTTGACAAATTTATAGTCCCGTTTTCATATTAGCTCTTAGGAAAAGTCCTTCGACATTTCCACCCCTAAACACACTCCTTATTTCATCTACCAGAGAAAGTAAAAACATTACTGAAGAGCACTTGCATAAATCTTAACCCAAAATACAGGCAAGTTAATTCCATAGCAGAGCATGCTTACATAAAAGACATGCCACACTATATACCCACAGCCTCACAGAGCGAGTTCTTATTAATGCTAAGATAATTACCTAGTGTGCTTTTACTTTTGCAGGGCTATTTTACAGGCCCAGGGACACGGGGCCCTGTGCTAACCTGCACCTGACTGTGCACCTTAAGGACAGCTGGCAGCAACAACGAGGTGTTTTGGTCTCTCCAGGACACGTAAGCAGAGGTGAGTGGGTCTGGAGCGTGAGGAGAAGAGCTGCTCTAACCCCACGCTGTGAATGTGAGGGCACGGAAAGGCCCCTTGGGCTTCGCATGCATCGAAGGGAGGTCGCTGCCGCACGGCGTGGCGGCCGCGCTCACCGTCCGCACAGGTGGGGAATGAAAGATGCAGCACTAGTTCAATACACCTGCCCCATCCTTCCCCCTGCCCAAGCAGGCAGGCACACGTGAGACAATGAAGTGCTCCAAACTAAAAATCATTAATCCAATTAATGAGCACAGGCCGCACTACCTCAGAGCGGCAGCGCTTCCAGAGGAATCCTTTTCTCCCTCATCTCCTCTTCCTGCTCCTCGCACCCTGGTCGCCGCAGCAAAGCTCTGCTGAGCACCAGTGTGCACTGAGGAGCAGCCAGTTCACCACGGGTAAAATCACCACCAAGAGCTGCTTTAAAAACAATAAAATGACATTGCTGCTCGAACCAGGGCAGATGGTGCATAAGTGCATCTAGCAGCAAGCCCAGCCCGGTGAGGATGACTCTTTTAAGTTAATGTAATCCCCACTCCCGGGAGCAGAAGAACTTCCATCTCTGGCAGATGAGGACATCATCTTTTCAATCAGGACTCTAGAAAACAAATATACATTATTTGTTTTTTCTCATTTAAGCAAGCAGCTCGGTGCTACACAGTTTTGAAGCCATGCAAAAGAAACACAACGATTTGTTCTAGAAAGACTCCAGCCCCATCCTCCTAGTAGAGGCCAACACATGAAAAAACATCCATGGTTTTGTTTAGAGAATTTCTGTTTCCAAAATCCCCTTCACCAAGGAGAAGAACTTCTGACCTTTCGGAATTTAGGTTCCCTTTAGGAGTTTTACTTGCATGTTGTTACTGCTATTTATTTCTAACTGACATCATTTCCCATCACCTTCAAGACCTGCTGTCTGAAAGGGGGAATTAACCCTTTAGCTGTATCAAAGGTCCCTGTACCTACCTCATAGACTCGTTAATATTCTTGTTTTCCTTGACGGATGTTTAAAAAAGCCGTTTTCTTTGCTGAACTGATCCACTTCTTCTCTTGTCACTGCCTACGGGGAAAGGTCACACTGTAAAACAAGGCAGTCCTTTTATTTTTTAGGCTGGGAGGGGAATTCTTCCCCTCACCCCTTTGCTGCTTGTGTTCGAGTGGGCTCGGCATCTCCGAGATCGCGGTCGGATAGAGAGCCCTCGGGGCAAGGTTCGGAATGGGATGTTGCAAGCAGCGATATATTTATCTAATCGGAGGTGCTGACACACCCCTGTCAAGCACGCCTGGAATTGAGGTTCATCCAGAACAGCACAAAAAAGCAGCGTCACTCACCCAAAACGGGCCAGCCCGCGAGCAGCAGGGAAACGTTCCCTTCCAGCCCCGACACAACCACCGCGGGCAGCGGGAATGTGAAAAGGCAATGAGAAAACCTGTGCAAGAGGAGCTCGTATTTGTGCGATTAGCTTATCGGCACACACAGATCTCCTTATGCAGGTGAGAACATTCCTTTAAACCGCCACAGGGGGAAGCATCCTACCCCGAGAAGCAGAAAAGCCATTTGCCCACCCACCCATCACGTTTTCGGTTCATTTCCAACTTCAGGCTCTCTCAAACCAGGCAAGTCTCAAACTGAAGCCGGAACGGGCTGCCGAGCCACTGTTGGCACATGCAGAACATAAAAAGGTAGGTTTTAATGAAAGGAAAATAAATCACTAAGGGCAGCAAGCAATCCGCACAGCGAAACTGGACACGGCATCCAAGCGAAATGCAGCCACCCCCTGGCAGCTCTGGGCTGCAGAGGATTCCCTGCCGTGCCATTCCCAACCCTCCAGGTCTGCTGCAAGGGAAGGGCTAAAAAAACAAGAGAAAAACGAGGTTTCTCCTTCTATTCTTCCTCCCTTTGCGGCTGTGGGAGGTGCTCACTTTATTGGCCAGCAGCAGGCAGGGCACCGGCCTCCCGTCGGGCAGCGCCAGCTTGCTGTCCAGGTCCTGCTTCCACTTCTGGCTGTTGCTGAACGTGCTCCCGTTGGTGACATCGAACATGACGACGCAGGCTGAGGCCTCCCGGTAGTAGAGCCGGGTCATGGACGTGAAGCGCTCCTGCCCTGGAGGAAGAGGAGGAGAGCTTGAAGAAACCTGCTCGAAAGCAACGCTCTGCACTTAGTTCAAGGGGAAGCGGAGGCACGAAGATGCATCCTGCCTTGTGCACTGCAGCAACGCGGCGGCAGAGGGAAAAATCACAGTCCTTAACACTGACCCAGGCACTCGGATGTCCCACAAACACCTGCATCACTCTCAATACAACAATTTAAATTAAGTGTCTTGTCCCCAGCCTGGTTTGGTCTCCTGCAGAGCCAGCCCCTGCTCACAGCAGCGACTAGGAGGGTTCTCGCTGCCTGGCGCAGACACAGCAGCACAAACGCAGCCTCACAGAACGAGTCTGAGATTGAACAAAGAATATTCAGCCTCGCAGATGCTGTTATTAGCATTTAAACCCTATGGCCTGCCCGTAGTACCAAAACTGTACCCAGAAAACAAGCATTTTTGACAGGGCCCAGATGTCGGTGTGAGCTCCGACCTTGTTCCACGGCTGCTCAACAGGCTGCACATTCCGAAGGGATGGAGAACTGAGCACTGAGTGACCCCCACTGTCTGCGTCCCTTCCAGGTGAGACGAGCAACGAGGCAGGACCGTCTCGCGCCCTGCAGCTTAGGGCACGGCACGAGTGCGGTGACAAACACGGCCGCTCTGCTTTCCAAATCTTAAGTGTCTCTTCGGGTCCGAAACTGAAATCAGTTTCTTGCTGCAATCCTCTTGCTGCAAACTTCTCCTTCCTGTTTTCTTTTTCGAGATTCCAGGCGCACCCGGCTCAGCAGAAGCCGCAGCCGAGTTTTCCTCAACCCAGAGGTGCCCAGAGACGCCGCTGCCCCGCTCTGCCCGTGTCTCCTGGTGCTGGGACGGTTCAGGAGCCGAGGTTTCCTGCGCCCCTCCAAGCAGCAGATGCTGCTCACTCCCCTTCGGCGCATATTAGTGTCCCCCAGAAGGTGCCCCGGTCCTGACCCGGGCCCAACAGCACCAGGGCAGGAGCAATGTCCCCTTCCCATGGGTGCTGCTCCGATGTGGATGCGTGTTCCCTAGGAAAGCACCAGCTCCGCTCACACACGTCACTGAGCAGCCAGAGAGCAACCTCCGAGAGACTCGGTTGGATTCAATGGAAGAACTCCAGGTTTAGACACAGGAATTGGGCCGGAGATCAGTATTTTCACAGAGGACTTGGAGCTGAGAAGTTATCTACCCACTCATGAATCAACCTGTCTCCCCTCTCAGTCTGCTCTGGCTTTCAGAGGATAAAGAAGAGTTCCATGGAACTTATCTTTCGTGCTGCTGTGCTATTTGCACACGAGCTTTTGATTAAATACTTAAACTACCACTGCAAACTAGGCAGAACATCACAAAGCAGAGGGTCTTGCCCCTTGATTCCATAGTTTTTTCAGGGTTCATTTTCACACCAGATACCTAAGGGGGAGATGGTGAGGGAGGAGAATGGCCAAGCAATTGAGAGAGCTGTAAATCCCACTGCGGAGCGGCGCTGGGGTGCACCTGAACATACCTGCGATGTCCCAGAGCTGCAGTCGCACCGTCTCCGATTCCGACCACTGCACGACCTTCAGAGCAAAATCCACTGGAAAATCCCCCAAAGGAAGAGACAGCCGTTAGGGACACACATACCCCGGCCTTGTCCTCAGCACTTCCCCAGGGGAGCAGGCCCGGGGGTGACAGCGGTGACAACGCGTGCGGACCCCCGGCCACCCAAACCTGGCGCAGACACAGCCAGAGGGGCCCCCCTCTCCTCCACGCGTCACATCCAGAAGGATCCTCCGCTCTGTGTCCAGCGCAGGCGCCCAAAACACCCCCACAAACGTTAGGAGAAGCGCGGGGCGCTCTCTGCATCCCACCCCACCTGGGGACGCTCCGTTTCGCTCCCCCTTCCCAAGCCACAGCCCGGAGGCTCCTTGCACGGGGTTAACCCACCCCGCGGAGCAGCAAAGCCCAGGACGGTCCCAGTTCGGGATGATCCGGAGCTGGGCCAGGAAAGGCGGGCGCTACCCGCGTTCCAACGCCCCCGTCCCCGCGGGG